CTCCGATCATATATTCGTGTGTTGCATGCGTGGTGTGAGCGTATGCAAGAATTTGTGTTTGGTGTTGTTTGGATTTTCTGAGTGTGTGTGAATGTTATTTGGCTTGAGCAGATATCTGAATTGATTCCTCTGCTCAAGAGCTTCCCGACGAACCGAGAATCGCCGCGATCGGAGCAAGAACGAGAAAGATATGATCGTTCGAAGTTTTGATTGAGATGCGACGACTATGGGAATTTGCGGGTTGACTCAATATGGGGTACAGACTTTTGGGGGTTGGGAAATTCGTCACCATCACTGTAGATGATGCCAAGTGGTTCGAAGAAGCCAAACCAGGTTGGCAAGTGTGGCCAAGGTGAGGTGGATGGCATGAGTTGGGAAAGTGACAAATGTCAAAGTTGGGGTGCCTATAGAGAGGGGAATTGTGTGGTATGGGGTTTCCTTGGTTGGGGACTCCCTTGGGACCTTCCCTCTCGTCCTCCTCATCCCCTCCTACCTGGTTCTATTGCTACTCCAACTTTCTTGTGTGAACTTGTGAGATAATTGTGATTGAGCTACGTTTTCTATGGCAGCATACCCCATAGTGCGCCGAAATTCATAACTCGAGTTATACTCCATATTTTGATACTATTCAAATTGGGAAAGATATCCACGGTCAAGGGCTGCAACATACTCGAGTTTGAGAGAATTCTGACAGAGCGTTTTTTGTCGACAACGTTTCTTGTGACGACGACTTTTCTGTCCAGAATTGTAGTTGACGATTTTGAGATATTTCAGCCCCTAATCTTCATATACTCCGTCCTTAGTCTCTAACATCCATAAGGGGTACAACCCAATTAGGGTTAGTACTTGTACCCAACTCTTTGCTAGTTCATTCATTCTCGTTCATGATTCTGACATGGTTTCAGAGCAGGTCCTCCTCTAGGACCGTTCTTTTTTCCTTGGGGCCCACCACAGCGCTACCCCGCTAGCAGCCCTCTGCAGCCCTCGTGCTGCCCCTCCTTCCTGTCGCGACCCGTAGGCCCCTAGGCCCCGGCCCGTCGCCAACCCTAGCCCGGCCCGACGCCCCTAGGCCCCTCGCCCCTTGGCGTCGCTCGTCGCCCCTAGCCCGCCCCCCCCCAGTCGCCCGTCGCCCCTAGCCTAGGCCCCACGGCCCCTCGCGACCAGTCGCCCCTAGCCTAGGCCCCTCGGCCCCACGACCCCAAGGCCCCACGGCCCGTTGCTCCGTCGCCCCTAGCCTAGGCCCCTCGGCCCCACGGCCCCTCGCGACCCGTCGCCCCTAGCCTAGGCCCAGGCCCCGCGGCCCGTCGCCCCGTCGCCCCTAGCCTAGGCCCCTCGGCCCCACGGCCCCTCGTGACCCGTCGCCCCTAGCCTAGGCCCAGGCCCCGCGGCCCGTCGCCCCGTCGCCCCTAGCCTAGGCCCCTCGGCCCCACGGCCCCTCGCGACCCGTCGCCCCTAGCCTAGGCCCAGGCCCCGCGGCCCGTCGCCCCGTCGCCCCTAGCCTAGGCCCCTCGGCCCCACAGCTCCTCGCGACCCGTCGCCCCTAGCATAGGCCCATGCCTCGTCGGCCCGTCGCCCCGCGGCCCCTCTCGTCGCCCTAGGCCCCCGGCCCCTCGGCCCCCGGCCCCTTCGTTCCTGGCCCCGCGGCCCGACGCACCTAGGCCCCCCGGCCCCTCGGCCCCTTCGCCCCTGGCCCCTCGGCCCCGTCGCCCTAGGCCCCCGGCCCCTCGGCCCCTTCTTTCCTGGCCCCGCGGCCCGATCCCTCCTATGCCCCCTGCACCTCGGCCCCTTGGCCCCTCGGCCCGATCCCCCCCTAGGCCCTCGGCCCCTCGGCCCCTAGGCCCCTCGGCCCCTTGGCCCCTCGGCCCCTTGGCCCCTCGGCACCTGGCCCCGCGGCCCGACCCCCCCTAGGCCCCCGGCACCTCGGCATCTTGGCCCCTTGGCCCCTCGGCCCCTCGGCCCCTCGGCTCCTGAACCCCCTGCCCCTCGGCCCCTGCTGCTGCTCTTGCTACTGCTACTACTGCTGCTGCTACTGCTGCTATTGCTACTGCTGCCACTGCTGCTCCTGCGTACTGCGGCCCGATGGCTTCGCTTCGAGTTCTCGCGTTTCATCATGAGGGCAGACCGATTCAGTTTGACATGTGGCTTGACGATCTGCAGCTGTACCTACTGAGCGATTCTAAGGACAGTGTTTCACTGTTTGACCTAGCGTCAGGCGCCGCTACTGCCCCTCCCGCCACAGCTGACAGTGCGACTCGCTCAGAGTGGCTTACTCGCGACGGTGCTGCCCGCTTAGCCATTTGCAACCACCTGCCGTTAGCCGAATGCGCTCACTTCGGACAATAGAGGACAGCACAGGCACTGTACGACGCTGTCGTCGCTCGCTACTCCTCGCCTACCACTGCTGCTCTAGGCCGCTTGCTTCTGCCCTACCTGTTCCCCGAGCTGTCAGCATTTGCCACGGTAGAGGACCTTGTTTCCCACCTGCGTGCTAGTGACACTCACTACCGCGCTACCGTCCCTGCTGAGTTCCTTGACAGGAACCCGCCCCCGATGTTCATCACCCTCTACTTCATAGTCACTCGCCTCCCTGACTCTCTTCGCTCTGTCAGGGACCACTTTCTCTCACTTGACCCCACCACCATCACTGTTGACCTACTCGAGGAGCACCTCCTCGCAGCTGAGACTAGTGCAGTTACTGTAGGTGCTACTCGTGGCACTCCGCGCACGCCCTTCTTTGACGGGTTACAGGGTTACACCTTCAGCCTTGGTTCCGGCTCTGTTTCCTGGCGGTCTACCCACTCGTCTTCGGTTCTCCGCTCCAGTTGTGAGGCTGGGATCTACGCAGCGGCCATGGCTGCACAGGAGCTACGCTGGCTCACCTACCTGCTGACTGACTTGGGAGAGCAGCCTCGTTCGCCTCCAGTTCTGTACGTAGACAACAAGGCCATGATTGCCTTGTGTCAGGAGCACAGACTGGAGCACAGAACGAAGCACATCGCTCTGCAATACTTCCTTGCTCGAGAGTTGCATCAGCGTGGCCAGCTTCGTCTTGCGTACGTGGCCACTAGGGCCAACACTGCTGATATATTCACCAAGGCACTTCCGCCTGGTGATCATCAGCGCTTCTCTACTGTGTTAGGCCTTGTGCCTATTTTGCCTCACTTGCTCACTGCTTGACTCTGCTTGTACTGTGATCTATATATATACCTGCATGTTTACACTTTCTAGGGTATGATCACTGTATTGTTTGCTCTCTTTATATATAGCTCTGCATGTGAACTGGCCTTGTGGCCCTTTGCTTGTGCTCGGACTGTGTGGTGACTTTGTGATCCACCCTGAGCTTGCTTTGCTTTCTTGACTGGTCTTGTGACCACTTGTTCTCTCCCACTTTGCCTATGGGGGTGTGTCAAAATGTTTTAGTGCTTACATTTGTGCAGGCTATAGTGGGGTAGCCCATAAGAAGTACAACCCAATTAGGGTTAGTACTTGTATCCAACTGTTTCATAGGTATCCATTCTTGTTCGTTAGTTTTGACACCTTCCTCCCCTCTCTCATCCATTCCTCCCCTCTCTCATCCCGTCCTCCCCTCTCATCCTTTCCTCCCCTCTCTCGTCCCTTTCCCCTCTCTTGTCGCTATCCTCCCTGTCTTGTCCCTCTTCTTCTCTAAACAGACGCCTCCAGGGAGTATTGTTGCCTCCTCATGTCCTTGTGGCATGGCAGATGACAAGTAGCTTAGTGTCCACAAAGGAGCACCCACAAGAAAAACCCGTTATTGTTGCTTGACGCCATGCGACACGGAATAGAACATGTGATTTGTCATGGAATAGAACGGAAGCGATATAATAGAATGCATCGTAACTCCTCCTCCTGGCATGATTGACCCCATCGCATGCTTCATGCTCTGCATTGTGACACATAGGTTTTGTAAAAAAACTGAAGAGACCTAGAACCACTGTAACATCTCAAACCGCCACTGCTTGCCACATGGCACTTTACAAAGCGTCACCATTCCCTCCGCCTCGACCACAAAGCGCTCTACAGCACGGCCTGCCCACATCCTCAAAGAAACCCACAAGTCAAACGCGTAACACGCAGTGTGAAAATGTTCTCAAAAGGTTTAGACGTCAAAGGTGAAAATAACACGGACTCAATACCGAAATCACATTGAGTACTGCGACGAGAACGAAAAAAAATAATCAAAACACCTTGTGAGAATTAACATCCTGAAGCATTCACCTGATATTTTTCCTGTTAGGGCAACAATATTATACACACATTTTTCTGAAACACCTTCAAAATGCTTCGAGCTGAATCCTTCGTAACAACGATGGGTGTGTTGACCCAGAAGAAACCCGTTCTGAATTTCCAAGTACATAAATCGGACGGCTGACATGAGCCAGAAAATTCAATCTGGGGAAAGGCAATCCCTGTACACTATCAACCCAACTTCTCCCGAGTCCCCCTCGCTGTCCAACAACAAGCCCCACACCACAATCCCCCTCGTTGCACTCGCTGCCCAACACGTTGTGTTGCCCAGAAAGAATAACATCTGGAAAGGGGGAAACCGAAAGCAGAACATAACTAGCCAACATTACCCACTTGGACGGCACCTGAGTCGTTTTATGTGAAGGCATCTGCGGTGCGAGAGGTCAACTTCACCTGAATTAGACCCTTAATAGTTTTCAGGTAACCCATCAGATAGCAGGCTGTTGTACGAGCCCCGCGAAAACATTTGCAATCCCCATCCCAGGTTCCAGGACCATTTCCTGCGACTCGTTCAATCTTCCCATCACAATCATTGGCCCTAATCAATCCCCCCCACTCCCGACACCTACCCTACCTCTCCAGGCACTGAGGAGCAGGAATCCAGGTACAAAGGCAACGAGGCAACACTGATTTTCCAGAACACCAGGCTCAATCCAGGGTAATCCATAGTTGCTGAAAGTCAGAAGCTCACTTGTGTAGTAGATTTGAGAGTAATCCCGAGCCAGTCCTCCACGATGGCGCGTCTGGCTTTCCTCGTCGCATCTCTGTCAGTGCTTCTGGTGGTGGCTTCTGCTGAGAAGCCAACCCTTCAGACTGGACCCAGCAACCCGACGGTCAACGTCGATCAAGCCAAGGGCGCTAATGGCGTTGTGACGAACGTTCCTACTAGCGTTGAAAAGGCGGCGGAAGACGGCAAGCTGGCTTCATTGAAGGGAACGACCGTCGTGAGCACGACCACTGACAGTATGCTGTTGGTGGCCGTGAAAAACTCCGCATGGAACGCCATGAAGTGTAAGAACGGCATGAAGGGCATGGACGCGATCGGCAAGGGCGCGTGCACTCCTTCTAACTGCTCCTTCGGTGGCATCCCCGCCAAGTGGAAGACGTCGAACCTGCTCAAGAACAAGCTGGGTGTGGAGGTGTACGTGAAGGGCAACCCTCTGACGATCAAGAAGGCTTCCCCGCAGACGTGCTGCAACTCGTGCGCGGGTTACCCTGGCTGCACGTACTGGCAGTACATCCCCGACATTACCATCGACGGCAAGAAGTCGGACGGCGCGTGCTACCTGGTGCACGACAACATTGACTTCACGTGCGGTGAGATGACGGCGCAGTACGCGACGGACTCGAAGCCCATTCAGCTGCAGGTGCGCACGGGCGGCGAGTGCAACCCCTCGTCGAAAATCGTCAACGACCCGCATCTGGTGGGCGCGTACGGGACGCACTTCGACTTCAACGGGCGCCCCGACAAGGCGTTCTGCCTGCTGGCCGACAAGGACCTCCACATCAACATGCTGCTGCGCGGGTACTATTCGGACGATACGGAGAACGCGGCGCTGGTGGTGGACGGCAAGGCCGTGCACACGTGGATCAAGGAGCTCGGCATCGTGTGGTTCGCCAACGGCGCCGACCACAAGGTGCGTCTGGCGGCGCGCGGCGGCAAGCAGCAGGAGCGCGGGGACGGATTCATGAAGACGATCGAGATCGACGGCAAGCAGATGCCCAAGATGAGCGTCGGCGACGAGGTGACGACCGAGGGCGGCCTGACTCTGCGATTCGCGGCCCTGGAGAAGGAGGGTCCCTATGACGTGGATTACTACACCCTCGTCATCGATGGCCTCGTGGGTCTCGACCTGAGGCTGCGCGTCGCCAACCCCAAACTGCAGACGCCCAACGACGCCGAGGCGCACATCAACGTCGGGATTGTCGAGCTGGAGCACACCGACGACGTGCACGGCGTGCTCGGCCAGACGTACCGCCCCGACCACGCGGAGCGCGCCGCCAACTTCCAGAAGCTGATCGCGAACCTGCACCGTCCGATCTCGGCGGAAAGCGAGGAGGGCGCTGGGTTCCTCGACGGCACTCCCCGCATGTACGAGTCTAGCTCCGTGCTCTCCGTGGACTGCGCGTATACCGAGTACCACCGCGCCAAGCAGCTGAGCCCCGTGCAGCAGTACGAGATGGAGCCCCTCAACTAGACCCGGTACTTGTAAACTGGTGGGCTGATTTGGTCGGCTGAGTTGTGCGCAGAATTCCTGTGCATGTGTATTGTAGGTAGGCTGGTTTAGCATACTAGTGTTATTTATTCTTTAATGTAACCAAACTACTAGTCATCTTGATGGCCAAACCGTGGTGTAACCAGCGCCAAAATTTTACTTCTGTACTACAATGAAGGTGCACATTCCTGGGCGCGGTTATGGCGCAACCAACCTGGTCATTCTGACACCAACCTGGCGCAAACTTCCATTTAGAGAGCGTAGTTCCTGTTGGAAACAATTAATTTAGCACCTCTGTCGTGTCGAAACACCAAGTCGGAAGCGAAGCGAAACATATCGAAGCATTAGTGAGTCAACCCTCGGAGGTTGAACAACTGCTGGAGGTTATGCGAAAGTCAAAGGTCAGCGACTTTTGACCTGACAAATACAGCGCAAGGACAAACGACTGACTCTCTATTGAGCAGTTGCCCGAGTCGTCACTGTGTCGAACCGCAACAGCAACAGCAAAACGGTTATTAACTGTATCTCTTCGTATTCCTTGTATTCTTATAAAAGCTTGTATCCCTTTGTTTTAATCAATCTACTTTGCCCTCACATACTAGCGCAAGGTGGTTCACGAAGTTCTTATTTAACGCTTCCGCTATTACATTGTCCTACTCAGAATTTAGTCCTGCAAAGATCCTAAGGGCTTTTCTCAGCCCAACAGTTCCCACCATAATTATGCATAAACTAAGCGACAATTCCCTAGTGCCACTATGACTGTGCCCGGAGGGTAATATCTCCACCCCTCCACGCGTACATGCAGGTCCCATGGCATGCTAATGTGAACATCGTGGCTAGCTCGCAACGACATCGCCTGCCAGACACGTTGTTTTCCCATCAACGCAACCGTGACCAAGGCTGACGTTTCATTTTAAGCTTCCCTGATTCCGGGGAAAATTTTCCCCCTCTATTATGGGTGCACATTTTCCAGAAAAGCAGTACCCTGATTGCTCAGGGTTGTAAAGTAGTTAACACTGATTGTTCAGGGTCGAGAACTGAACATCAGAGTAGTAACGCACGCTTTGTTACCGGGGAAAATATCCCCACTCTCCATAAAGTCTGCGCGCTGTGTATATCTGACAGGTTTCCGCTGTCATAGCCTATTTCCGCTGACAGAGCCTATTTCGACCAATCCCAGCAAAGTATATCTGACAGATTTCCGCTGTCAGAGCCTATTTCGACCAATCCCAGCAAAGTATATCTGACATTGCAGATTCACGCGATCTCGATGGTAGGTGTATCAGAACGAAGTTTCGAAGAAACTTCGTCTCGATAAAGCGGGAAGGGGGGGGGGGATTACGCACATGTGGGGGGATCACTGCGATCAATCCAAGGCGGGGTCATCGGAAGGAAACTTCCGAGAAACTTCCTCTCGATAAGTCAAGGTCCACACAGTCGATACTCTGTTAAGTCAGGGTCCACTAACAGCCTAGTCTGTTACACTGTACTCAAAATCAGGGATAGCTAAACTATTACTCTGATTGGATCAGGGCTGGAAATTCAATAACTCTGAAATTTTAGTCTCCACGAAGTGGAAAGCCTGAAATCACCCTGAAATCAGGGTAATTACCCAGATAAAATCAGCACTGGCCGTGACGTGGCGAATGTGCACCGGGAAGCTTACGTGCTCAATGTTCACGATTCCCAACATTTATCTCATTTCCCGCCACACAGCCATCTAGAGCACCTGCACGTTGGACACTTTCTGCAAAACAAAACAAAGAAGGAACCAACTCTTAGAAGCTAGGCATGAGTGATGTCGACTATCGAGAAGGTTGGTACAAGAAAAATGAACCTAAGGGGTTGTACCCCACAGTGTGTACCCCACTAAGCCTACCCAAAATATAACATAGATATACATATGTTTGACACACCCCCATAGGCAGAGTGGGGGAGAACAGAGGGTCACAAGACCAGTCAGGAAGTGCAAAGCAAGCTCAGGGTGGATCACAACGTCACCACGCAGTCTGAGCACAAGCAAGAAGGCCACAAGGCCAGTTCACATGTAGAGATATATATGTAACAACAACAGTACAGTGAAATCTACCTACAAGAACAAGCATGCAGAAATACATATAAATCATGGTACAAACAAAGCCTACAGCAAGTGAGGAAGAGTGGGCACAAGGCCTAACAAAGTGCAGAAACGCTGATGATCACCAGGCGGAAGTGCCTTGGTGAATATATCAGCAGTGTTGGCCCGAGTGGCTACGTAGGTAAGACGAAGCTGGCCATGCTGCTGCAGCTCTCGAGCAAGAAAGTAACGGAGAGCGATGTGCTTCGTTCTGTGCTCCAGTCTGTGCTCCTGACACAAGGCAATGGCGGCCTTGTTGTCGACGTACAGCACTGGAGGAGAACGAGGCCGCTCTCCCAAGTCAGTCAGCAGGTAGGTGAGCCAGCGAAGCTCCTGTGCAGCCATGGCTGTGGCGTAGATCTCAGCCTCACAACTGGAGCCGAGAACTGAAGACGAGCGTGTAGAACGCCAAGAAACTGAACCAGAGCCAAGGCTGAAGGTGTAACCCTGTGACGACCGCTGCGTAGCCTGGTCGTCAACCTAAGAAGCGTCCGAGTGACCAGTGAGGACAACGTCACCCCGTCCTCCAAGCACGAGCCCCATGCCCGATGTACTGCACAAGTAGCGTAGTACCCTCTTGGCAGCATCCATGTGCACCTTTCGGTGCCGACCAGGAGCCACGTAGCGAGCCAGAAGGCCAAGAGGGTACGCAAGGTCAGGACGAGTGCAAGTCATCAGGTACATGAGGCAGCCCACTAACTCTGGGTAAGGACCACTCGACTCTACGGACTCGTCCGAAGGTGGAGCTGAGAGCGAGTGACCTGTAGCCAGAGGAGTGGCATGTGCTGAGGACCAGGTGAAACCGAAGCGCTGAAGGACCTGCTGCACCATGTGTGACTGAGTCAGTGTGATGGTGCGGCGTGCTCTGTCCCGGGTGATCTGCAAGCCAAGGTAGCTGCGCAGTTCACCCAGGTCTGTGCACGTGTGTCTCTTCTGCAGCTCCGACTTCACCAGGGCAAGAGCCTCAGCAGTGGCAAAGACCAAGTCGTCGACGTACACGAGAACGTAGAACGGCGGCAGCGAAGTGTCGGTGCGCAAAAACAGCGACGGGTCAGCAGTCGACGGAGCAAACCCAAGAGCCGCAAGTGTCGTCCTCAGTGTGTCGTGCCACTCACGTGGCGCCTGGCGGAGACCGTAGACCGGCTGCCGGAGGCTCCACTGGGTACCAGGAGGGAACGACCCAGTGAAGCCAGGAGGGCGGCGCAGCCAAATCTCCTCGTGCAGGCTGCCCTGTAAGAAGGCTGTGCTGAAGTCAAGAGAGTGAAGCTCGTAGTCACGCTGAGCGGCAACGTGCAGCAGCACCCGAAGAGTGGTCATCTTCGGGGTGGGGGAGAAGGTCTGGAAGAAGTCAACTCCCTCTCGCTGACTGAAGCCTCGAGCCACGTAACGAGCCTTGAAGACAGGCGGAGAACCTGGCGGCCGCTTCACCCTGAAAATCCACATGCCACTGACAATGTTCGCCCCAGGAGGGGGAACCTCGTCGACGTAGGTGCCTGTGGACTTCCAGGATGCCATCTCTGCGTCCATGGCTGTCTGCCACTGAGAGGAGTACTCACCCGCGATCGCCTCAGCGTAAGAGCGCGGGGTAGGGATGTCTGGTGCATCCGGGTCTCCCTCAGGGGCAAGCAGCATGGATACGAGATGAGGCGCAGCAGCTGCAAGACACTCAAGGTCCTCCTGCCTGTCCTCAAGGACGTCCGTGCCAAGAGCACACTCACCCCCGACGGACGTAGGACAGACAGACGTAGACTCAGCAACAAGACTGGCGGCGTAGTCTAGACGACAGTGAGCAGCAAAGGCAACAAGCTCAGTGACTAAGGCAGACGCAGCAGCAGACTCAAACGACGGGTCAGTGACAACAGTGGCAAGCAGACGCGTGACAGTAGAGTGCTCAGCACGAAACCGGTCAGACGCAGGGTCAGCAACGACAGGCAGAGAGGACGCAAGGGGAGGCGGCAGAGGAACACGCGGGGAAGGAGAGGAAGGACGACGAACTACAAGGTGAGAGCCGGAGACAGCCGGCTGCCGCTGACGAGGAACACGACGACCGGAACGACCAGAACGGACAGGGGAGACAGGACGCGACGCAGGCTCACGACGCTCAGCAAGGCCCCTAGTCTGCTCTGTGTACGGAGAAGGAGCAGGCAGCGGTGAGCCAGGCTGTAACGGAAGACCAGTAGACGAGGGAAGACTGAGAACCTGGCGAAGTGCAGAGTCAGGTGGTGGCTCAGACGACGGAGACGGCGGAGCAAAGAACAGGCGCGGCTGAGCAGTGCCACCAGCAGCTCCAGCTCCTCCAGCAGCTCCAGCACCCCCAGCATCTCCAGCACCTCCAGCGGCTCCAGCACCTCTAGCAGCTCCAGCACCTCCAGCAGCTCCAGCACCTCCAGCACCTCCAGGACCTCCAGCAGCACCACCACCAGCCCCAGCAGCTCCTGTACTCCCATTACGAGCACCTCCGGGACCAGCGACACCAGGAGAAGAACCACCAGTAGGAGAGCCCTGAGGTGCAGAAGTGGGAAGCCGACGGCGACCGTACCAGTCGTGCAGCTGCTGGGAGGTGAGGGGCACACGCGGACGAAGACGGCTACTCCAAGGAGACCGCGTAACAGCAGTCTCAGAACCCTCAGGCAACTCACCCCCAGACGCAGCACTCCCAGGCTCAGCACACACAGGCTCAGCACCCCCAGACGCAGCACCTCCAGACGCAGTACCCCGAGACGAGGCACCTCCAGGCTCCACACGCTCAGCGCCCCCAGACTCAGCACCCCAAAGCTCCGCACCCCCAGGGACAGCACCACTCCCACCAAGACCGGAGTCACCAGTGACCTCAACAGGCGCAGGCGCGGGGGGGTCTACCTGAGAG